CAACCCTCCCAAAGCCTGATTGCCTCGCCCCCAAAAACCGGGGCCTTGATCCCCAGCGACGTTGACACAACGAAGCCCAAGATGCAATCCGACAAGTTCGGTGGTTTCGAGACTATAGGGTTTAGGGTTTAGGGTTTAGGGTTTAGGGTTTCGAGACTAGGAGGATTCAGCCGTGATTCAGCCGTGATTCATGGAAGAAAAGATCAAGCATCCAACAGGTTCCCGGTAGTCAAAGGGCCGGGAGTTCGATATAGTGTAATACTTGCATACATATATATATATATATACACATATATAGCTTTAACGGTCTATAGATCTGTGTGTATACATATATACATACATACATACATACATACATACATACATACATACATACATACATACATACATACTTGGGGAACCTGAAGGAGATGCCATTGACTACGTAGTTACTCAGGCCCATGGATGAGGGTACACGGGATAGGGTGTAGCGCAGTGTAATCTACGGCATAGGGCGGCCTTTGGAATTGGGGTTCTGAGGAATCTTCACTACATTTATATGGGTAGTTTTGTAAACTAGGGTCCCTTTTGGGGTTCCTTTTTATAAGGGTGCCGTACTATATTGGGCATCTATAAAGGGGTCCTAATTTGGAGAACTGCCCATATGAGGACTGACTATTGCAATGGATGTGACCACTAATTGTGTCCTCTTTAGTAGTCTTTCATGACCTCCGCTGCTTCCCTAGTCACCCCAAACTCCAAATCCTAGACCTTACATCCTGCATCATCATGAAGCCCTCTCTGCAAAAAGAACATGAAACGTCAGCCCAGGCCCTTGCTTAGACAAGCACAACCCTACAACCTACGCCCTACACCCTATGCCCTAAACCCTACACCCTATATTTCCCCTAAACCCTAAACCTACACCCTAAATCCTAAACCCTAAACCCTATAAACCCTAAATCCCTAAACCCCTAAACCCTGAAGGCCCTAAAGCCGAAACCCTTCGTTGCCGAGTGACTTCAGGCTGCTTGCGCTTAGAGACTCACTAGGGTTTAGGGTTTAGGGTTTAGGGTTTAGGGTTTAGGGCCCAGAGGCTCCCAAAACAGGGCGCAGGGTTTGGGTTCCTACGAGGGGGCTACTTGGGTTTGGGGTTTCGGGTTTAGGGTTTAGGGTTTAGGGTTTAGGGTTTAGGGGTTGCTATAAGACTAGAAGAGGAGTTAGCAACTAGACAGGTAAAGGGTTACTATTCGTTAGAGGTCTTTGCAAGGGTTCTGGGCTTCGAATGTCTCCAGGGAGGCATTGGGCTTGGGGTTTAGGGTTTTAAGGGGTTTAGGGTTTAGGGTTTCGGGACTTGGGGGTTAGGGTTTTGAGGGGTTTACTAGGGCTTGGGGGTTAGGGCTTTAAGGGTTTTGAGGTTTAGGGTTTACTTGGGGGGTTGGGTTTTGAGTGGTTTACTCCACAGGGTTTGGAGTTTGGGGTCTGGGCTGTAGTCTCAAGGTTTGCCACCTCAGGACAAAGGGTTTGGATTTTCCGGCTCAGGTCAACAAACCTACACCCTAAACCCTAAACTAAACCCTAAACCCTAAACCCTAATAAACCCTAAACTCCTAAAATCTTAAACCCTAAACCCTAACCCCTAAACCAGAATAAATCCTAAACCCCTAAAACCTGAGAAAGCCCTTGCAGTCCAGATGCCAAAACCTCGCAACCATCACCCGCCAAGGCCGTCCACTTGTGGGTCTGGCTGGCCTGATCTCGTGACGGCTTTGGGGGAGCAGGGCTTTGGGTTCAGGGTTTAGGGTTTAGGGCTTAGGGTTTCAGGGTTTAGGGCTTAGGGTTTCAGGGCTTAGGGTTTCAGGGTTTAGGGCTTAGGGTTTCAGGGTTCAGGG